ACGAATTTCTGCGTTGTATCTGTCTGTCTAAACTGTAAAACATTACATCCCATTACAAGAAAAACATGTCTTTCTTGTTTAGTCTTAGTTTGTTAATTTCTGATTGGAAATGACGGATGGTTAACTAATTCTATTATTTCTCTAGTGTTATATCAACGTAAAAGCATTAATGTCTGTTAAACGATAATGCATAATGGTAGAAATGTTGTTCCGGCTATGATTCGCATGGTCGTCCATTTATTCTAACAAAATTTTACAGTATTTACAATCTATCTACGTGTTGGAGTCTGCGTTAAACACAGTTACTAGTATATGTGGATATCGATTATATTTTAAGACTCAATAAGCATTAATCGGTTTGATGGATTTGATCTGTGTGTTTGGAATAGATTTGATTGAGAGTTATTACTTCCATGATATTTTATCGTGCAATAATGCAGTTATATATATATATATCTTATATATTGTTTTGAATTGACAGTTTCCAGTGCTACTCGACCATCTTTGGGAAGACCAAATCTCAGGGATAGATCTCTAGATCGACCTTCTCAACGTTCTGATGGAATGCCCAAATTACAGGTAGATAATATATGCATTACATTGAAATGGAGAATTGGGTTTTAAGCTGGTTTATTGTATCAATAAAATAAGAATTATGTTGATTGGTCGATTGATTGATTGATTGATTGATTAATGGTAATCACACTCTGGTTTATTGATTATTTTGATTGTTTTTTCAGCCTCCTAACTATGAAATGAGATCGTTTATGCCGACGATGAGACGAAATGAAGCAGCTGGAGATGATGTGGAAATGTATAATCTTCGTAAGTGTACTACTATGTAATGATGCTTTACAATTGTCGATATGTTTTAAATGTAAATAGAGCAAAATATTTATCCAATTTAGAAAGCATTCCAACGTTACAATGTTACGCCTGCACGTAAACACGTCAACTTGATCTACATGAACTATTACGAGTTTATGTTGTAACGCTGCTACGTATAGCTATTCAATCCCAGCGGCGTCCAATTCAATTATCCCAATACGACCCAAAATGCTATTTCCAAATCTCCTGGATATCAGAACGCAACACCGTGGGATGGAGTTGTTTATTGGTCGAATACAGAAGAGAGGTAGGCAGGAGAATCGGGATCCGAATCCGAATCATGAAAGCTTACAGATAGTGCGTATTTATACATTAAGGTTAATTAGGGAAGAGCATCAATGTCTGTGACATTGACAGTTTAAGACAACCAATAGAAAAGAACAATTGAAATGACATTGACAGTCCCAGTTGACCAATAAGAGACAACATTGAAGGATTTGACATTGACAGTTAAAACGACCATAATTGCGACCAATAGAAACCGACCAGTGGGATTACACTTCTAAAAATAGTACTCTTTGGATATTCAGTGAATATCCTAACAGCATACCTTGTCGGAAACGAGAGCGAGGATCCGGTGACACGACTTACTACTCTAATTCAATTATCCTAGCCCCTCATATTGAATGAACATATGAAGACTTGATATGAAGTAGAACTTGTATTCTACAAGCATCCAGAAAGTACGAGGTCCGAGTCTAGAAGAGAATCCGGATCCCGGACTAGGGGTCCAAAAAAGTAGGGCGCTATGCAAAATTCAATAACATTAAACAAATTCAATAGGAAAAAACTAAAATAATTAAACGCAATTCCAAGCGAACTCTTGAATTTTGTTGATTAACTAGACTTATTAGTGGTGATGCAGTCTCTTAATGTGTGACCTATATAAATAGTCTGATTAATAAACTAAACGTGTGGTACATCGAGACGTTTAATCACGGTATAGGAATTAATAAGACACCGATTGTTAATTAATACATTCTTTTAAATTTCCAATACATTGTAGTTTTCTCATGGCAACTTGGGATAATGCATAATTGTGGCAAACACTATACTGGTTACGATTGATTGAGTTGACTGTCTTTATCTTTATTATTTAACCAACGCATAAACATTAACATACGAGCTTTTGTCGTACAGTCTTATCCTGTCTGTTTGCATAGTTTCGTTGGTCAATCGGTACAAATATGCGCAATGGATGAGTGGAACCCTTTAATCTCAACCGAATCCTTGATTTTACCCACTTAAACATGTATAATACATTTAATGTTTCAAATCTGCTGAAATATTGAAATATTGAACTGGTTGGTGTCTTTGGACTAATTGATTGTGTTATTTATTTGCAGGTGCTCGAGATCAACGACCTTCATTAGAAAGATCCCTTCGTAGAGGAGAAGATTCTCCGAATCTTCATGTTTTCCCTCATTCATCGGAAAGAGCATCAAGACATCAGGTGATTTTTTATCAATTAACTAATCAGTAATTTGGTATTTGAACATTGTGTGTGATAATATTAACATTCATTTGTTTTGAAAGCATGCATGGTTAATTATTTTTAGCTTAGCAGGATAACAATTTATTCGTTTGTTTGGTTGCTTGTTTTCAGTTTCCAAGTTATGATATGAAGCTGTTTGCGACGCCAAGACGAGTTGAACGAGAAGATGGCGTAGATATATTTGAATATAGTGAGTTGTGTGTTAACTGTCATAGTTTTTATTGTAACACAATCTAATTGTACTACAGGCATCGTTGCGCCTGAAAGTAAGTGGACGAATGTCTATGCATGCCACGTGTATCATGCATGTCTGTTCAGTTGTCTAGAGGTTAGGCGTTCGCTCACAAGACCGAAGGTCCTGGGTTCGGATCCTGCGAGGTGCAGGAGTTGTGAATGTGCACTGTTGATGAGTTCTACACTAGGTGAAAACAGCCATCCAGTGCTTGCTGGTTTCCAATGTTGGTCTAAAGTTGGTCGATTCATGATTTCGATCAAACTCAACAATCCACGCAACCCTATAATGACGATTTTCCACAATAGCTGTGTTACACGTTAGAACGTTTATGAAACTGCTTCATACCTTTTACCTTGAATGATCAATTTTTCATGGAATTAAGCCAGTTTTTCTAGTCACAACAGGAACTGCCTTCATATTACGATACCTGAACAGTACATTGATTATAAAATAGATGAAATGTGGCTAG